CTCCCTGGTGATTTCTGCCCCTTCGCCTCACCCCTCCCTTGTGATTTCTGCTCCCCCCGCCGCACCCCTCCCTGGTGATTTCTGCCCCTTCGCCTCACCCCTCCCTTGTGATTTCTGCTCCCCTGCCGCACCCCTCCCTGGTGATTTCTGCCCCGTGTGCATGAACGAGACGCAGAGAACAGGCTCGCCCCGTCCTGTTGTTACCATCATCCAAAGGCCAAGGACGGGACCACAGTTTCCTCCTCAGGAACCAGGCGTCCCCCACTCTGTCTGGCTGGTGCAGGGGTGGCGAGAGCTGACCCAGGGCCCCTGAGGTGTGCGGCCACCCTGTCCAGACCTCTGGCCCCGGTGCCGGTTTCCTGTGGCCCTGACACAGCCTCCGGGAGGTCCTGAGGGCCAGGTCTGGGCAGGTGGGCGCTGGAGGGTCTTGGGACGTCCCCCCTTTCAACCTTTCCAGGGGACGGTGCTGGAAGCTGGTTTCAGGGGGCCAGCAGGGAGCAGCAGAGGTGAAGCGGGATGGGGTCTGCGGGCAGGGGCGGGGCTGGCTGGGAGCCCTGAGAAGGCTTGGGGCAGCTTCCCCCTCCACCCCCCTGCCCTGACCTGCCCTCTCAGGGCCGCGAGCAGGTCGGGCTAGCTGGGCGCAGGGAAGGGAAGATTTAGAGCCACAGCATCGAGTGCCACTGGTCATCCCCCTGTACAGATGGAGAAACTGAGGCTGGGAGAAGGACAGGAACATTCCAGACCCCACTGCAGGGCTGGGAGCGTCTCAGGATTAGTGTTCCTGGCTCTCAGATCTCCTGGATGGGACTTTTTGTGCAGCGCTCCTCATGGGACAGTCCACAATGGCTGTGATGGGGGGGGGAGGGAGAGGGGAGGAGAGAGGAGAAAGAGCATTTTTAGGATCTGTCTCTCGGCCAGGACACCGTGTGTCCTCACGCTGAGTTGACCCCGCGTCCCAACCAAACCCTCCGTCAGGAAAGAGGTGGGGGGAGGTGTGTGCAGCCCCTGGGGTCTGATGCCGAGCAGCCCTGCGCCCACAGCCGGGCACCGAGCCCCCCCGGGCCCAGGCGGGAAGGGGAGGGCAGCGCGGTCCAGGCGGCACACACCTGTGACGTCCAGTTTTCTGGCAGTTACATTAAAAAGGTAAAGAAAAAAATAGGGAGCTCTGGGTCCCTGCGGAACCTCAGCGGATGGGGTGCTCTTGTCCGGTTAACCCTGCCTTTCGACAAACAGTCTTCAAAGTGGGTTTCCCCACCCCCTGTCTGAGCTGAGGTTTCCTCATCGTGGTCGGAGAGTGACCATGCTGTCGACCACCAGGCGTGCCGCGGCCCCGGGGTCACCCGCTCACACCCGGCCACGGTCCGGCAGCCCTGGCCTTCCCTCCCGGAGCCGGCGTTCGGGTGTCTGGTCCTCTGGCCGGAGAGGAGGCTGTGTTCCGCGGCCTGGTCGGCCCCGTGTGAGCGGGAGGGGCGCGCAGCCTCGGGGCCCCTGCTGTCGCTGTCCTGCGGGGTGAACGGTACGGCCCTTGGGGACACAGGTCCCTTCTCTCTAATAAACAATGTGCACAAGGGTTTCAGGATCTGCACCCCCCCCCCCCCAATTCCACAGAAGAAAAGCGCTGCTGATCTAGAAACTTTGTATCCATCTTGCGGGTGGTTTGCCTTTGTCTTCAAGAAGCTTCTTTCCTTTTCCCTGGACTTGGCATCTGGGGCCACACCCCAGGCCCCACGGGTGCCCCAGAGTGCAGATCCGAGGAGGGAACGGGGAGGGGAGGCTTGCGCTGGGGGGGGGGCAGCAGAGAGGCCCCCTGGGGTCCCGAGCACCCCCCCACGTTCCCGTTAATTGAAGCACAGCTGCCGCCTGGGAACCGCCAGCCCCCCAGGAAGGCTGCCTCTCCCGTCGCGGGGGAAGCCCCTGGCCGCCCTCGCACCTGCCTACCGATGATGCCGACGTGTCCCCGGGGCCCCGCGTGTGATGGCCGGACTGTAATGTGTGCTTGTTGGGAGGTGTCGGGGGGCAGAGGGCCGAGCCCCGTGGAGGGAAGGAGCCCTGATACCTCGTCCACTTCTGTGCTCGCCGCGACCAGCGACCAGGCGTCTGAGCCTCTCCCTCCGAGGCCCCGAGGGTCTTCCTTGGTGGGTCGGTTCTCAGCCCCGGTCCTGCCCTGCCTGGAGCTGCGGCCTCTCACCTGGGCTCCCGTCCAGACCTGCTTCCCCATCACCTGCTGTGCCTGTGACCCGGGGAGGTGGCCGGGGTCGTCCCCTGCGAGCCAGGCCCCCACCCTCCTTGTTCTCGAGCCCCCACAGAGGCGGCTGCCACCTGGGGAGCCCCTCGGGGGGGGGTCCTGAGCCCCGTGACGAGGGCCCCACAGCAGGCTGTTCTCACCAGGACGGGGCCCTTTCATGAGCATCTCACTCTCCCGCGGGGACCAGAGCAGAAATTTAGCGGGGCCGCCCCTGCGGGGGATGAAGTAACAGGCTCCTGGGCTTCCCTGCTCAGGGCAGGCATGACTGACAGCCTCCTGGGTCCAGGTTCCATGGCCGGTGTGCAGGGAGGGGCGAGGGGGGGTGAGCGTCCCCCGACCTCCTGGGGCTTGTAATCCAGCGGGTCCTGTCCCCGCGTGGCCTCACTTGGAGAGGCGGGGACTGGAAGCCCCACACCTGATGCCCAGGGTTCTGGACCCTCGAGGCAAACACGGGGGGGGGGGATGTAGAGACGCTCGCCCTCCAGGCGGCGCAGTCAGGTCCCCAGCTGCAGGTGGGGGGTGAGGAGCCAGAGAAGTGGGAGGGGTGAGGCGTGCACGTGTGCCCATGAGTGTGCCTGTGTGGGTGTGTGTGCATGTCCACCTGTGCATGTGTGGGGGCACGTGTGTGCATGTGCATACTGGTGGGCG